AGGGAAAATCCTCGGGCAGAGTGGGACCCTGGGAGATAAGGGAGCGCAGAGGCCGCCTACTGCAATGCTCGTGTAACAGCGAGAGGGCCAGCTCCCAGGCTGCAACCAACAGAAACGACAGGGAGAGCCCACTGTCCCCCTGCTTATCCGCAAAGAGACGCAGGGGCGAGAAAGCGACCTGTCCCGGGCGGGTAATGCTGTGCAGGAGGAGCAACCAGGTTTTTCCAATTGGCTCAAGCACTGGGCTTCTCCCTTATATCCTGTCTATTTTCACTTGACACTGGCATCTGACAGATGTTGAAGGTGGGGATGCTGATTCTATTTACATATTCTTCTGTCTCCCCAGCGACAGCTGGGCCCTTGGAAGGCCTGGACGTTCTCTTCCCCGAGCTAACACAGTGTCTGTGCAAAGCGGATGCGCAGAAATGTTTGCTGGAAATCATCAGAATGTTACACACTCGACAGGCAATGAGCTGACTGCATAATGAGTAATTCCCCTTTCCTCGATTAATATTAATAAGAGTTACCATTAGCTGAATACGTGCCAGACGACGTGGTAAAAGCCACAGGTGAATGCCTAAGCTCATCTGTTCAGACCGGGTTCACCTCCGCCGGAAGTGCGACTAAACTGAGAGGGAAGATCCTGTTTCCTCCTTCCTCTTCCCACTGCTGTCCTTCACCAGAAACAGAACACGTACAGGGAGGGGGAGGGGGACACGTTGTAGCTCGACCTCAGGAATGCATTCTAGAAGGGGCAGCACTGACCGGCGGAGGCAATGAGCTGCCCCTGGAGGACTCTGGGTAGACTTTCCGTTAGCAGGGGCCGAGGAGGACCTGTTAATATATAACCCACCAGGACTGGGGAAGTTGCCGAGGCTCCACCCGCAGGCCTGCAAGTCGGGGGAGAGGGTGCAGTTGGCATGAGCAGCGTGAGCACCTACAACTGCATCTTTCCTTATTTAGAAGGAAACTAGAAGCCCGGTGCATGAATTCGTGCACGGGTGGGGTCCCTCGGGGCGGCCTGCAAGGATCGGGACGAAACCTGCAGTCCAACGCCGCCTGAGGCTCCCACCTGCCGCTCCCGCTCATCCCGGCCCCACTGTGCCTTCCGCGGGCTCGCGCCCAACCAGTTCCCAT